CAATTCCATGGCTTCCTTTTGTTTCTTTGTTGTTTCACTGGTGGAATATATGCTTAAATAACTCCTCAAGGAGGTGTGTGGGGGTTGGGTGCAGTTCAGTGGTAAGCACTTGCTTAGCATGCACAAAGCTACAAAGCTTTGTACCACACTACCCCCCACCTCACCGTACCAAAATAAAATAAAATAAAATAAAAATTTGTATGGCAGGTGAGCTTTCTGAGTCTTGTAATTTGGATAGGTATCTCACATTGAAAAATCATTTTACACCTTTTATTCTCTTGCTTCTAGTGYATCTAATGAGAAATCCACTGCCCACATGGTTTTTATTTCTTGCAGAGGTTTGTATGCCCCCACTCCCACAAKGCTTCTCGAATATTTCCTACAAAACCTGTTCTGAAATCTCTAAATGATGTGTGATCTCTTCCATCCCACTAATAAATATTCAAGAAAAGCCCACTAGTAATTTTACTAGTTCTAGTAATTTTCACTGTAGTATTTCCTGGTATCTYTCTCTCCTCTATCTTCTCTGCTCCTTAAAGAATTCCTTTTAGTCTCTTATTGGGTCCTCTCTGGAWTGATCCTCTGTGTATTTTATACCCTCATATTTTTATACATATTTTGAGAGATTTCCTCTAATTTATCTCACAATCCTCTGTTGACTATTTCATTTTTGAGGATTTCTTCCAGTTTTCTGGGTCTTCTGTTCTGTTGCACTGTRTTCAGACTTGTTTGACAGATGTAATATCATTTTACTTCTCTTTAGGGATATTTAATTTTGTAAGGTTTTTATTTGACTCCCTTGTATTCTCTGAATCATGTCTATTCTTTCTGGGGTTGAGTTTTCTATCTYTTGTCATACTGTAGGCATTCATCAAATGTTTCATGATTTCTAATAGTCATGTTATTTTTTTGTTGTTGTTTTGGTTTGGTTTGGGGGGCTACTGGAGATTGGATCCAGGGGCCCTCTACCACTGAGCTACACCCTTTTTATTTGTTATTTTTGAAGAATGATAAAGAAGTAGGGCAAGTAGGAGCCCCAAGCACGTGAGTAGAGCTTGCTGATTGGCGGGCTTCAATCCAGGCTGAGCAGTCAGAGATTGCTCTGGACATTTGCTGATTGGTTGGTTTTGTTTATATCTGTTAACTCTCAATTTCCATAGATTCTTGGCACCAGAATAGGAGGGATGTGAAAAATGACCATTTTCTAGACAGATCTGTGTCATCAGTCTTCGGTTTATTCCAGTAATTTCTGTGTTCCTAACCTCTGCAAGGTTTTACCACATGGAGAGGCTCCCCTGTCTACTGCAGAACTCTGAAATGAGCTAAAATTCTTCCATTCAGTGTCCTTCCATGAACTTTGTCTTCCATAAATTTGCCAAATCACCCTCTTGTTCCCTAAACAGTGTTCAACATTACACCTTTTATGTTTCTTTATTATAATTTTAAGTCCTAGGAGGGTGAGAAAATAAATATGTGTGTTCAGGTCCCCATCTTCAACCAATAGCAAGGGTAGACATTGTTATTACCTTAGATTTAGAAAACAGGATCCTATGATTAAGGATCATTCAGCTAGGAAGGGAAGGGCTAGGATTAAATTTTTATCCTTTCAACTATGCCAAACTATTTCTTTTTATTCAAACCATTACTCAGCTGGTATGACCTAGAGAAATAAAATCTTACATAATACTATAAGTTTAAATATGCTGCCTTTATGGATAAAAAGGGCCCAGAAATTGCCCGCACTACATATTACGGAATATTATTTTATGTAGTTAYAGACCTATCATGAGAAATTATCAAAATCATAAAGCTGCAGTTTTATACATTTAGTGGGTCAGGTTTGGGTGTAGAATTCGAGGTGGAAAAATTAGTAGGAAGGGCTGGATTGTCATTACACAGCGGTGGCGAGGGCTTGGCACACTAAGTGCTCCCAGCTATAAACCCCACCTAGGCAGAAGCTCTGGTTGGGAAACTTGCCTCAAAGAGGTGGAGCAAAATGGTAGACACTGTTAGGAAGGCAGAACACCCTATCTATTGGAGGCCAGTCTATCATATACCTTCCATACTTATTGCTAGGTTTGGATAAGTGTCCCTTGAAGGCCCATGTGGTAAATGCTTGGTCCCCGACCTGTGGTGCTATTGGGAGATGGTGGAACCTTTAAGAGATGGAGCCTAGTGGAAGGAARTTGGGGAGCCTTCAAGAGGATATTGGGCCCCAAACCACTTCCCCTCTTTCTTTTCCTTTCAGCCATAAGGTGAATGGTTTCTCACATGCTCTTGCTGCTGCCTCAGCACGGCCTCAGAAACAATGGGGCCAACCAACCACGGACAGAAACCTTCAAAACTGTTAGCCAAAAAAAAAAAACCTTTCCTCTTTTTAAGTTGATTATTTCAGGTACAGTAAGAGAAAGCTGACTAATACACATATTAAGTGACTACTGTGTACAGAGATACCTCCACCTTCAACCACGGTTASCAGCCCAGAAAGATAAGGATCCTTTTATTTGTGGAGATTTCTAAAAATTAAAATCCCACACTATAGAAACATATCCCCTTCATAATGGTTTAAGATTTAAAGTATTACATAGAATCATTTTAATTCAACCAAAAATATAATTTTAAGGCTTTTGAGTAGTTGGTCATTTATTTAAAAATTTTTTATTGAGCTCCTATATATTTTTTAACTTTTTAAAAATTTGTTCTTTTTAGATATATATGACAGTAGAGTGTATTTTGACATATTACACATAGATGGACTATAACTTATTCTAATTTGGATCCTATTCTGTGATTGTACATGCTGTGGAGTTTCACTGGTGGTGTATTCATATATAAACGTAGGAAAGGTATGTCCAATTCATTCTACTGTCTTTCTTATTCCCATTCCCCATCCCTTCATT